AGACACCGACTCGATAAACGTGACGTCCTGAGAGGACAGAACACGACGCAAGGTGGGGTGGTAGAACTGCCACCCGGGTGCGTCAGGGGGGAAGCCAAGGAAGACACAGGGAACGGCACTGGAGGACAGCTTGTCCGCTGAAGTATTGCGGACAAAAGCTCGAGATCCCCACACACGGAACGCAGACGCATCGCCAACCTTCCCCGTCCACTGCAGAGTAGGTGTGGTCTCCGGCAATGAGACACGAGGCTGAAGGTTGATCTGATGCGCAGCGTACTGAACCGCGAACGGCCACAGAAAATGGGGAGCAGCCGCATGGATCATGGACGTACGAGCGACGTCCATGACCATGCCAATGCGGCGCTCAGCAATCCCATTTTGTTGTGGGGAGGCCGGAAGTGTGAACGTCTGGCGGATGCCCTCCGCACGACAGAAAGCCCTCAGAAGTTCGGAGGAAAACTCACCACCTCTGTCTGAGTGCAGACGCAGAACAGGAAGGTCCGAGCCGAAACGCTCGCTGAGCTGGCGACGAGCACCGCGGATCCAGTCGATCAACACCTCAGTGACGTCACCCTTGCTGCCCAAGGGGAAGACTGTGGTGTAACGCGAGTAGTCGTCAACAACCAACAGGAAGTAACGCTCGTGACCCTGTCCACGGACGCGGGCTGGGCCCCACACGTCCATGTGAAGAGTCTGCAGGGGAGCCTCTGTCGGAGGGATCGTGGAGGAGTGAGGAGCGGCGCGCTGCCGGTCCTCGACACAAAGAACACAGGTAGGGGCAGGCCCCGGAGGAAGGGGAGGGAGGGATCGGGGGAGACCCGAGACAAGGGTACGGGAGGCCATACCTCGAAGACGAGGCAGGGAGGGGTGACCAATGCGGTGGTGCCAAAGGAGAGTCTCGTGCGACAGAGGACGACACGAGCAGGGGACAGACGCTGGACTAGACCTAGACGCGGCAGCAAACACCTGACTAGACGCGACTACCTGACCAGACGCAGTGACCGGAGGAGACGCAGTAGTCAGTGTGTACAGACTCGACCCAGGCCGACGGGTGAACGTGGCCAGGTGGCGGCCCGTCCGAGAGCAAGTGCAGTGGGTCACACGCTGACCTCCAGGGGTGAACTGGTCAACCCACGCGTCCTGGAGGTCAGCTATCTGGTCAACCCACGCATCGTGGAGGTCCTGGAAATCAAGTTCAAAGATAGCAACATTCTGCCTAAGCAGATCACCCCAACGAGGGAGCTCAACAGCGTCAGGAAACTGGGCGCGCCAGGCGTCAGTCAGGCGACCGAAGCAGCGCTGCACAGTGTGTGGCAGCCTGCACGTCTCCCCACGACGCCCGCCTTTGCGAAGAACGTAAGTGCAGGGACCAGCACCCCCAGACCTCGCACGCCCAGCGTACCACTCACGAAGCTGCTGGGCCGACGGGGTCTCACGGGAACGCGGCTGTTGCTGGCGCTGGCTACCACCAAAGCCTCCACGCTGCGCGGCTGCACCTTGACCAGCACCACCGCCGCCGCCACCTCCACCACCGCTGCCGCTGCCTCCACCACCGCTGCCGCTGCCTCCACCACCTCCGCCGCTGCCTCCACTACCTCCACTGCCGCCACCGAAGCCCCCACTCCCGGCACCACCCCCACCTCCACCGCCACCCCCTCCGCCTCCTCCACCGCCTCCGCCGCCGCCCCCGCCGTCCCCTCCACCACCCTTGCTCCCCTTGCCCTTGCTGTTGCGGCGCCTCCCACTAGGAGCAGATGCAGCCCCGACCTCCTCAGTGCCAACGAGGTCGACAGCAGCAGCAGAAGCAACAGAGGGGAGAAGGGGGTCAGGGGAACACCCCTCAAAGAAAGGGGTGCGGCGGTCGCCGCGAGAAACACCTACAGCTAAGATACTCTTCTCAGCTGCAGCGAGGCGCTCCTCTAGCAGGTCAACAGTGAGCTCGGTGGGGCAAAGGGAGAGAAAGTGGTCCCTGACTGAAGCAAGGGAGTCAGGGAGGCGGGTGATTAGGTAGTAAAGGGTGATGTACATGGGGGGGGGGGGGGGGGGGGGGTTCTTGGCACAGAACTCAGTGGGAAGGGCAGCGCGGTAGCGGGCGTCACTAGTGCGGAGGTGAGTAATGAGGTCAGCGACTGTGGCAAAGGCGGCAAGGTCAGGGAAAAGGTACGGCAGCATGAGGCGGCTAAGGGCAGCAGTGGCAGGGGAGGAGTAGCGTGCAACTACAGTGTCGTACAAAGACTGAGCAGTCTTGTACTGGCCAAAATGCGCGCGCTCAGCAGGCGGCAGGTGACTACGAACAGCAAGGCGAGCAACAGCGTCACGAGTGGTCCACTGCGAGTGAACCGTACTGTCAGCAGTGGCAGCAGGTGCAGTAGAGACACCGAACGTGTGATCGAAAAGGGATACCCCATCCCTAGAGTCACACTGAAGAAAGAGCTGCAGGTCGTCAACCCACACGTCAAAGTCAACTGCACGCCCCTCAGCATCAAAGGTGAGAACAGTAGGGCTAGCCATAGCAGCAGTAGCAGCAGTAGCAGCAATAGCAGCAGTAGCAGCAGTAGCAGCAGTAGCAGCAGTAGTAGCAGTAGCAGCAGTAGCAGTAGTGGCAGCAGAAGAGCAGCGCGGCTCGGCAGTGCGGCGCGGCTCGGCTGGGCGGCGCGGCTCGATGGGGCGGCGCGGCTCGGCTGGGCGGCGTGGCTCGGCTGGGCGGCGCGGCTCGGTTCCTGGCGGCGCGGCGCGGCAGCAAGCGGCGCGGCGCGGCAGGGCAGCGCGGGTGCTTACCAGGGGCGGGTGCAGGGCAGGGCCGCAGCTGGCAGTTTAGGTCAGGGCCGCGACCGGGGCAGCAGCAGGGCAGGGCCGCGACAGGGGCGGCAGTAGGGCAGGGCCGCGACAGGGCGGCTGCAGGGTAGAGGCCGCAACGGGCGGCGAAGGCAGGGCCGCGATTGGGGCGGCAGCAGGGCAGGGCCGCGACAGGGGGGGCGGCTGCAGGGCAGGGCCGCGACAGGCGGCGAACGGGCCGACGACGGACGGCTGCAGGGCAGAGGCCGCGACAGGGCGGCTGCAGGGCAGAGGCTGCGACAGGGCGGCTGCAGGGCAGAGGCCGCGACAGGGCGGCTGCAGGGCAGAGGCTGCGACAGGGCGGCTGCAGGGCAGAGGCCGCGACGGGCGGCGAACGGGCCGACGACGGGCGGCGACGGGCCGACGACGGGCGGCAAAGGGGCCGGGACGGGCTGGGTCGGGCCGAGACGGGCCGGGACGGGCCAGCGACGGGCGAGCGCGGGGCCGCAGTGGGCGGCTAAGGCAGGGCCGCGACGCGTGGCGACGGGCCAGCGACGGGCAGCTACGGGCCGGGACGGGTCGGCTGAGGCAGGGCCGCGACGGGCCAGCTAGGGAAGGGCGCGCGACGGCGCAGGTAAGGCAGGCGCGAGGCGCGCTTCGGGCAGGGCAGGAAAAAAATGTTCGTGGTGGGCCCTAAAAAAAAACGTTCCCACGAGGGAACCTGCTCTGATACCATGTTAGAATATGGAACGAATGAATGACTGAACTAGAAAGCAGGTGGGTACAAATAGGAAACCTAAATGTGTTGTACCCTATATGAACTACCCCACTACAGCCTACATAGACTATAGCATATAAGTTTGACACGTATCTGAATATGTGTACCGTTGATGGCGCCTATCACCATGGGCACACCCTTTATGCCATGGAACGCAGCGGCCATATCTTCCATTTCATCGCGTGAGGGAAAGCGGACCCATGCAGCTTTGAATGCTAGCGGAAAGTTCTGCAGAAATATGTCAACAAGCTTATGTCAGAGCGTTTTGGGCACCCCGAACCAAAACGTCAGGTCCATGTACGCCAACGCACTGGCGAAGTACTTAATGGGCACCAAGACCGCCACTCTAATCGGGATATGATGCCTTTGAATGATTGGGTTGAGCACGGACTCCATCCTTTCGCATTTGTATTCTAATATAGCACGACTGATGCGGAATAAATCCACAAAGACCTCTTCGGGCATCGTCGCCATTTCGTCCTCCCAGACCTCTAGTCGACGCCGCCTTAAGCGGCGGTTCCGTGCGCGAAGTTCACTTCGGGACTCTGAACGTTCTCTCCGTGTTCCGTGATGCTAAACTGTTCTAGCCGTTTAATGCAAGAGTTGACAGCGCTGTTTAAACATGTATTAAAGTAGAACGCATGCCACACTATTAACAAGCGCAGCAAGAAAGGTATGTCCGTCATGGTGGCTCTATTTACTACTGATAACCGTTGGCGATAGTGGCGCTGAAACTCACTCCTCTTCTATTTAACTTTGGTGTTGGCAAGGCTCGCCAATGTGTGTAGGTAAGCTGGAGAAGTGTCGGGCAAAGTGATTGACAGGTGCTTACGTGGCGTGGTGTCGCTGTAAATCGGGGCGCGAATTTCAGGTCTAACAAAGAGCGCACATTGCTCGATCGTTTCATGACACATCAGCATTGATTTTGCGTCGCACGTTTGGGTTAGCCCTCAACTTATGCTGATATGAGGCTTTACCGAGTTTGCCAATCCACAGGCGAGGAAAACCAATCTAATACGAGGTGCCCCTGATAGGAGGTTGTAGGAACACGCTCTGAAACAAAATTTATTTATAAAGAAATCGATTTTCTGTTTGGTTACACAAAATACAATATCATTAGTGGCTTGGGTTTAGGGAAGCAAAATACCATAGACAGTTCAAGACAGCCATGTAAACCAATCAACTCAACCTAGTACCCTATTTCTTCAAAAACAAACTACACAAGCAAGCCCCTAGTGAATTCTACTCTACCCATGTAGATTTCAGCATGCCATCTCAGGATGGCATACCGTACATTAGGTACACAAAACTACCATTAACCAAACCATGGACCCACAGTCGTATTCTCTCATGCTAAGGAATGCAGGACGGGTGCAGTATACGCTTCAGAGCTCCATGGTCCAAGCAGCAGCAGCAGATTAAATGTGCATCACACATTGTTCATGCTTCAGCCATGCTTCAACAGCAGCGCCGCAACCACGTGAAGAGCTAACTGCTGGTGATGCTGCTGCTGCTGCTGCTGCTGCTGTTGATGATGGCCTTCATGCTGCAGCTGATGCTCTCTCTGCAGCCTCGTCTCCTTTACCCCCTCCTCTCTCCCCTCTCCTCGCCCTTGCCGCACACAGAGCAGCAACTTCTTTTCTCTCTCCCACTGAACCTCCTGAGCTTGCTGCTGCCTCCTCCGCTGTTCCAGCAAAACCCCCACCTCAATACCCTGCATCTGCATTCCATTCCATTCCTTATCATCACCCCCACATGCTACTGCATTGCTGCACGTGCTGCTGTCCCTGCTACTTGAGCGCGGGATGCCAGGCATGACAGGCATGGCCCATCCATTTGTCACCTCGCTTTTCAGCATGCCGTGCAGCACCTCTCGATACGATACTCGAGGCGTCTTAAAGGTGGTCACGCTCTCTGCTTCGGTCCTCACTCGCTTTGCAAACCTGCTGTCACATCCATATGCCTCCTCTTCACACTCTTCGGCTAAACCGGCCCCATGCCGTGCCTTGCCTTTAAGCAATTCTTGTGCCACGTCAGCAGCATTGGGATCAGCAATGTCGCATTCAGCAGCCTCCGGCTCAAAAGCCTCGTTATAAGCACACTTCATTATCCACCCATTGCCGCTCCCGGATCGTAGCAGCATGTCTGCCCCTTTAACTGTTGATGGAGTAACATTCACCCCTCCCAACGTATTTTTGATCGGCTCATAACTCACTGATGCTTTTTGAGACGTCTCAAGAGTATTTCTGTTCGGCTCATAACTCACTGATGCCCCTGGCTTTTCAGCAGCAGCATTGACGTCAGCAGCAGCAGCCGCAGCAGCAGGGGTAGTGGTAGTGGCGTCAGCATCAGAAGCTGCTGCAGCAGCAGGAACAGCAGCAGCAGCAGCAGCACCAGCAGCAGCAGCAGGGGCTGTAGCGGCAGCAGCAGGGGGAGCAAGTGCAGGGGAGGAGGAGGGGTCTGAACGGAGGGTGGAAAGGTGACGGGTGGCGGCGCTAGTGGATGGTTGAGGGCGGCCGTTGATTGCGGATTGGAGGGTCAGGATGAACGCAGCAACAGCTGAGGGGTCAGCAGAGGCTGCACCGGCAGATGGAGTAGCAACACCTGGGGAACCACCTGAGAAACCACCTGCGGTAGCACCTGAGGCACCACCTGCAACAACAGCTAAAGAACCTCCTGAAGCAGCACCTGAGCCAGCACCTGAGCGAGCACCTGAGGCAGCACCTGAGGCAGTAGCACCTGGTTTATTCACAGTCACCGGGATACTAGCAACGCCAACGGCAATCTCCCCATTGAGTCCGCTCACGCCCTCTCCTCTGCTCCAAAATCGCCTCCCGCTTGTCAAATCCGACCTTTCTAGAACGCCTTCAAGCAAAAAGGGAACTTCCTTCCCACCCGTGCCTGTCACAATAGTATCTGCTGCGGTGTTTCCTGGTGACTGCTCCCGCACGGCACGGCAACAGACGGGTTGACAGTGGTAGTGGTAATAGTAGTGTTTCCCGCTGTTTCAATTCCTCATTCAACAGCGTCGACAGCGAATTCCGCCCACAAACAGACAATTCTGTTGGCTCACGAAAACCTCAACGCGCGTTCGATCCGCAAATCCCACTGAAGCGCTTTGCATTTGCAGTGGTGCCGACTGTGCTGTACTGGCAAAACAAGCTGTCTTTCCTGCTTCACACAGAGCAGCGACCTCTTTTCTCTCTCCCACTGCACCTCGTGCACCTGCTGCTGCCTCCTCAGTCTTTCCAGCAGCACCTCAACCTCTCCCTGCTGCATCTGCATCTGCATCTGCAGCCCTCTTGAGAGGATAGGATCAGTGCTGCGGTACCTCCCATCCAAACCTTCGTGCCCATCTGACCTGCCAGCATCAGCAAAGAGACACTGATGACGGCCTTGCCTCAGCTGTGCGTCTGCCCATTCGAAGACAGCCACCAACCAAACATTTCTCTGCTCCCACTGCATGAAATGAGTCGTGTTTTGAGTCGACTCAAAACACAGCCCGTTCTAAGACAGGCACCAATCGCCGAACATCCCTCCGCTCCCACTGCCCCTCTGCTCGTCTGCCCCTCTCCCCACCCTCACCCTCGCCCCCACCCCCACATGCTACTGCATTGCTGCACGTGCTGCTGCCCCCGCTACTTGAGCGTGGAATGGCAGGCATGGCAGGGATGGCCCATCCATTCGTCACCTGGCTATTCAGCTTGCCTCGCACGTCCTGGGAGAATCTTTGCGGAACCTTAAAAGTGGTCGTTCCATCTGCTCCGGTCCTGAATCGCTTAACAATCCGGTCATCACATCCCAACGTCAACACACTGTGTTCCCATACTGTGCCAGAAACATGCTGTGCCATGCCCTCTTGCACCATGCCTTGTTGTGAGCCTTGCAGGCCCATGCTTTTCAGCATGTCTTGTGCCACTTCAGCAGCATGGGGTTCAGCAGTGTCGCCTTCAGCAGCCTCAGGCTCAAAAGCCTCGCTATAAGCACGCTTCGTTATCCACCCGTTGCCACTGTCCGATCGAACCAGAATGTCAGCCTCTTGAAGTGTTGACTGAAGAGCATTCACCCGATTAAGCCTCATGGGAGCAACAGTGGCAGAGGCTTGTGTGTTGAAAGCGTGTGTAGGGGGCTGCAGGGAAAGGGCTAGACTAAGGCCGGAAGCCTGTGCGTCGGAATCACTCTTGCTGTTGGAAGATTTAGGGGTAACTGGGAAGAGAGGAAGCTCCAAAGCAGCTGCTGGTGATGCTGTTGCTGGTGCAGTGCTGGGTCGAGGCAGAGTGGTGGTGGGTGGTAACAGAGCGGTGGTGGGTGGCAGTAGAGCGGTGTGGGGTCGTTTTGAACCAGTGGTGAAATCCAGGGTGGAACCCAGCAGTCGCATCGAGACACGTGTAGAAACGGTTGAATTCGGTTGGGTGGCTTTCGGAAGGGTCGTGGAATGGCGGGAGGGTGTATTCACATGCGTGGTGGGATATGGAAGTGTTGGTGTCGAACTCGAGGGTTGATCACGGCCGTTGATTGCGGATTCAAGGGCCTGGATGAACGCAGCAACGGTTGAAGGAGTGGCAGGGGCAGGGGCAGCAGCAGTAGCAGCAAGCGAAGCACGTGTATGGGTGGATGGGTCTGCATCAAGTGTGGGAAGGTGACGAGTGGTAGAGCTAGTGGGTGTTTGGAGAGGGCCGTTGATTGTAGATTGAACGGCCTGGATGAACGCAGCAGTGGTTGAGGGAGTAGCAGCAGCAGCAGCAGCAGCAGCAGCAGCAGCAACGGAAGAACGCGCAGGGGTGGATGGTTCACAGTATTTGCCTGAGCCTGCGGATCGAGGGAGGCCGCTGATTGCGGATTGGAGGGCTAGGATGAATGCAGCAACGGCTGAGGGGTCAGTAGAGTCTGTAGCGGCATTTGGAGCAACACACGGCAAAACACCTGAGGAACCACCTGAGTAAACACCTGAGGAAAAACCTGGGAAATCACCTGAGGCAACACCTGACATAGCCCCTGAGATAGCACCTGAAGCAGTAGTGCCTGGGGTAACGGGACATGTGGCATGCACCGTAATTCCACCTGTCACTACGGCCAACGCATCTGTGGCGGCGGTTTTTCTCGCAGGCTGCCTCCGGGCGGCAGCGGGCGGCGGGGCGACAGTAACAAGGCTAGTGTTTCCCGACGACCTTCCCGGCGGGGCGGCAACGGGTGGAGCATCTGTGGCGACAGTAGTGTTTCCCCCCGCCGACGACCTTTCCCCATCGGGGAAGCCAAAAGAAGGCCCGCTGTTCCTCCCGCTACCCCCTCTGCGTTGCTTGTTGACCAGGCTGTGCCATCGGCTCTGGATCTGGTAACCCGTTCACGAGGGGAATTTCGCCGAGGCGATCCCAGCCCACTTGGTTTCGCCGTGGGAGCCCCACGCTACGCTCGCTAGCAGTAATGCATCTTCCTCTTGGGTGAAAGGCGCGCGGTTGACCTGCATTGCGCGAAGGGGAAAGAGGGAAGCAGGGGAGCAGGGAGAGGAGATGAGAGAGGAACCCCATGCGACATTTGCTAGCAGCCGGGCGTCTTCGTCTGGCGTGAAGGGCGCACGGCTGACCTGCATTGCGGCGCGAAGGGAAGATGGATGGCAGGGACAAGTAAGCGGAAAAAAGCCGTGGGAGCCCCACGCGATGCTTGCTAGCAGCCGGGCATCTTCCCCTGGGGTGAATGACGCGCGGTTGACCTGCATTACACGGGAGGAAGGGGATAGATTTACACAAGAGATAGATTTGAGTTGACTCAAAGCGGCCCTCTTGGGTGGAGGAAGGGGAGGGATGAGGGGAGGGAAGAGTGGAGAGGGGAGGAGGGAGTAGCTAGGGAGAAACGGGCGGGTGGACGAGGGGAGTCCCATGCGACTCTCGCTAGCAGCTGCGCATCTTTTGAGTCGACTCAAAAGAGGGGAGGGGGGAGGGAGTAGCTGGGGGAAAGCGGGCGGGTTAACAAGGGGAGTCCCATGCGACTCTCGCTAGCAGCTGCGCATCTTTTGAGTCGACTCAAAAGAGGGGAGGGGGGAGGGAGTAGCTGGGGGAAAGCGGGCGGGTTAACAAGGGGAGTCCCATGCGACTCTCGCTAGCAGCTGCGCATCTTCTCCCGGCGTGAATGGCGCGCGGATGACCTGCATTGGGGAAAGGGGTGGGGGAAGGGGAGGGGGAGGGGGGAGGCTGGGAGAAGGGGGAAGAGGGTCACGCCCGTGAGGTTCGGAGGGGGGAGGATGGGGAAGGAGGGTGAAGGCGGAAAGAGGGGCGAGGAATTATAAAGCGTTGATCTGCATTGCGGAAGGGTGGCAGAGGAGGGGGGGTGGGGTGAGAGGAAAGAGAAAGCGGAATCGTGAGGAGGGGGGAGAGAAGGGGGGAGAAGGGGGGAGGAGAGGGAATCAGGCTGAGCTGTCATAAATGGCGCTTCTTCCTTTTTTCCCGCTCTTCCCACGCCTCCGCACGTGATTCCATACCTTCCCCCCGCCCCCCACTTCCCCTCTCACATCCCTTCACCCCTCTCCGCGCGGACGACTCTCCCCGCCTGTAACGCCTGTGGGCTGTGTTAAGGGCACTCCGCTGCGCCAAATAAAACCCTCGTTTTGACCCAGTGGGTAGCGAGGTGTTACATTTGGAATCAGAGCCTAGGGTTCGAATCCCGGCTGGACCACACTTTCCGCCTTTGGCGAGAACTGAAGTGCGGTTGTAACCAGCTCGAACCCAGCGAACGATCCTCCGCTGGCCTGAGCAACCAGCGAAGTCGCAGCCAGCAGCACTGCGAAATCTAGGTCCCAGCGGCAGGGGGCCGACTTCCTGAAGTCCAGGGCCAACGGGGACGTTGGCACCAGGGGGGGACGAGTGTAACGCCTGTGGGCTGTGTTAAGGGCACTCCGCTGCGCCAAATAAAACCCTCGTTTTGACCCAGTGGGTAGCGAGGTGTTACACCGCCTACTTCCCCCTCCAAAACCTCCTCTCCAGACGCTCTTCAGCCGAAGCGCTACGACGCGTACCTTAGGATTCAGGTAGCTGGACCACCGCAGACGGCAGCTCTGCGCGTCGCGTTTCAGCGCCGTCGCATCCGCCACGTGCTTCCAATCTCCCGCGCCGAATTTCGCCACGTAAGCGCTCAGCTCCGCGTCTTCCGCCGCCGTCCACGCCCCGCGCTTCCGCCGGGATTCGAGGTTTTCTTTCAATCCGTCGCCGGAAGTCATTGCGCGGCCGGGGACAGGGTCAGCGGCGCCCCTGTCGGCGCTACGGACGCCGCTATCAGCACCACCTTTGGCGGGGCTGTTAAAGAGCCGCCGTCGGGGTTTTCCTGTCGTCATATTTAAGCGGAAAACACGGGCGTGGGAGGCGGAATTAAGCCTGAAAGCTCCGCGCGGCGTGTATGGGCTTACTACAGCGGCAGCGTCACACGGTGTGGAGAAACAACAGTGATTCTCGCTCACGCAAAGCGAGGGGAATGGGTGTGAAGAAATGTAGTCGCAGCTGCTGCTAACGCCAACGCTTTGCAAACATCGGAATGCATAGGCGGAAGGAAAGAGAAAGGGCGTAGCGCGATGCACCACAGCGGCGCAGTGCAAACCATCCATCCCTCCCGCCTGGCCAATGCAATGGATGGACGATACAAATGCAGCGCTGCACTGCAGGTCGGCCCTCAGTTCCGCCCCTCGTTTTCTTGGGTGCCTAGACATGCCAGCCTGTCGAGGGTAACACTGCCAATGCCTAGCTGACGCATGGCGGCACTGTTTCTGTCTGGATGGTTGGGTGGTCGCAGCTGCAAGTGGGTGGCTGGTCAGCTAACTTGCAGAATTTATGTAACTACAGTACAAAACATCCAACCGGGGAACTGTAGCCCATCCAAGTTGACTTCTAGAGAAAATACCTCAAGTGTCAGTCGTACCATCCGTCCGTTCCGTTACCTCCATTTCCTCCGTTCACTTCATTCCGACATTCCGAAATTTCTTGACATCTCATCACATCAACCTTTGTCGTCGACGGTCACTTCGAACGATCTACACCCTCTTTCTCGCCATTGTGAATTCGGTTACAATGAAGTCAAGATGGGAAAAGCACGGTTAACGGTGGTTAAATTACGTTTCAGTATGGTTCAATTAGGCAAACCGAAGATAACAAGGTTTTCCACCCGTTTGGCACAGTTCAGTGTAGCGAGAAACAGGGTGTATGTTACACCACGTTACACCACATCGCCGGCTGGAAACGGCACTGGGACTGCTTTGCAGGCGCTTTGCAGGCGGCGCCGTCAGTTTCGATCATGAGGGCAGGATGAGGCTGCACCCTAGAAAACCCTATTTTTACTCGAGCGTTGCCTCATCCCCTCAGTGCGTCCTTGGCATGACCAAATTCGTGTCGTGTCGTTAGATCCCACAAGCACCAACAATAGTGTGCTGTACATCTAAGAATATCCATATTTTCGACTGCTGCATTCTAACGTCTTTAAAACCCACGGGCCAAGAAGTTCAACCTTAGGAAGGTTGGTTGGGAGTGAAAACGCTATAGGCCCGCGAACCAATAGGAGTGTTGAAAATGTTGGACGAGGTCTAAAACTCGGGAATTATCACAGGCGTTTTTGGGACATCCAACCATCACTAGGAAGGATGACCAATTTTGGCCTTCTTGGCCCGCGGGTTTTAAGGTGCGACGAATGGCTATGCTGCCACCAGCTGGAATTGATGATTTGGGGTGGCGTGATGTGGTCAAATGCACTGGTGCAGTGGAGTTGTGGGTGTGCTCAACAGTAGGACTTCCAGCTGGCAGCGCGGTGCAAATGAAGGGTGTGTTGTGTACAGCAAGTCTCCTACGACCACAATCTGGGTCCTGGTTCCCAAAAATTGATTCCTTGTTTGGTAAGCGGTTGAGAACGATAGTGTGCAGTCCATAACGTTTTTGCACGTCACCACTCAGAACCACACTACACACCAGCCTGAACATTCATGCATGAACTTTTCGGACCCGCTAGAGGCGACAAAACGAACCTGCAACGAATAGTTGTGCTGCTGACCTGGGTGACTTCAACTGGGAAAATTCACGGAGGGTGGCGGTGATAGCGGAAGCGACGGAAGTGGCATGAAAAGGACGTGACGTGACGAGAGCTGCAGAGAAGAGAACCAAATGGGAGGGGAAGGGAGGGGATTGGTGGGTGGCTAGCTAGCTGGCGGCTAGGGGGATGCACTGTGAGAGAGAATACAGTAATGTACACCCTCTTTTGCGCTAGTAGAGCACCTGTTTGGAGAACGTACATGGATTGTAGAATGTCACCACGTTCAGAATGGTCTTGGCACCTACTGTACAAGCACAATGCGAAGAATGCGGTTAGGTAAGGTTATGCACTTTACAAAAAGCGTTGTCAACGTTTTCATCTGTTTGGGAAAGTTATGAAGCGATTATGGAGATTTTACGTCCTTGAGCCAGTTTGTCACGTGGTCCGGCTTCCCCCCCAGGTTGCCTAGGAACGTTTATTGGCACCAGATCGCATGAGACAAGTACTGTAGCGACGAGTCGCGCAAGGTGAAAAGGTTGAGAAAGAGGGTGTACAATCATACCTGTGTACGATTAGTCTTCTGGAAGTGTCTCATTTATCGCAACAGTGCATCCCCCCTGCCGCCAGCTAGCTAGCCACCCACCCAAAGGGGATCAGTCTTCTGGAAGTGTCTCGTTTTCGGTTACAGTACACCTGGTCCGCGGTATTTCAACCGCGCGAAAATGGGAAGCAAGATTTTGGATGCTCTGACCGTGATGAAGATAAGGGTGCAAATTTTCGGTCATTATTTTCACCACCAAATATCTGAACAGCATGGAAAGTTTTGACAGCACAACTCAAAAGGAGCAATTCTGCTCTTTTCGCCATCTGGAATGTTCGAGAGTCGGGAAAGTAAAACCATCGACGGTGACGATTCTTTTTGGAAAATTCGGATGGGGAAATTCGCTTGCCACGTGGACGGCCCCAGCTGAGATATTAAAAAAAAAAGGCTTGGCAACTCTACAACTTGGTTCGGTCAAGTGTGAACAGAGATTTCTGGCCACCCAACAAGAAACACCCAGCGTGCCGACAAACTTGGTTGAGATACTGGCGGTTAAAATACACCTAGTCCGCGGTATTTTAACCACGTAAACTGTTTTGTTTCAAACAACATTTATTCTTTTTTTCGGGTAATGAGATAGGCACCCAGAGACTTCAAGGCTAATATTTTACAGCCGGATGCATTTCCGTCTGAAGAAGCGCACACTTATTGCCCGGATGTAGAGGGCAGATCGGCATTGGCAGAGTTTTAACTGCCGTCATCTCGCGGAGGGAATGCTAGATTCTACCCTCATTATTTTTCGAGCTACTCGTTTAAACAAGCTTAACCAAGGAGAAGTACCCTCGCGCGGTTAAGATAGCGGCGGTTAAAATACCACGGACTAGGTGTACCGTGGACCAGGTGTACAAGTTACAAGTACAGTTCATCCCGAAGCTGGCGGGCATGTGCGTGCTGCAGACACTGAATGGTCCGTCCCTCCGAGGATTTCAGCTTAGCGAGGACAGGTATCCCGACCCCTCCGCTTTCAGGGGAAGGGTTTCGCTTCCTGCGCACAGTTTCCGCTAAAGGCTGGGCTAGGGGGGGGACAGTTATTGTTCAGGTAAGGGACTCGAGCTCTCAATGAGCCACGTGTCTCACTTTTCACAGAGAGTTCACTGTAGGTCTTCAGTCACATATTCCCTAGGGTTATTATACGAATGGTCACTAAACAGAACGCGCTATCACGAATGGTCATGGGGTTATCAAGAACGGTCAATGAAACAGGCGATTCTATCACGGATGGTCACTGGTTATCACGGATGGTCACTCGTCGCCCCACGAGGCTATCATGAATAGTCACTGAAAGAAACGCCCGCCCGAAAGTTGAAATTCTCCCCCTTAAGACCTCTCACTGTTACGATTGAGGGACTGTTAGCGCGTTTATTCTGTTTGTCTTTTTCGAGTTGCACTGTGATAGTCTTTTGATAGTAACAGTGGTTGTGGCCGGTGAAAACGACAGATAAAATGGTACGTTGAGAAACAATCCGGTGATAATTTAATAACTATCACATGAGCCCTATATGATGGGATAACAATATAACCCTCTTATTTATATATGTTGATATGCAGTTTGCATTCACAATATGATGGCAAAAATAACCAATAAAACTATCTATGGCAATACGTTGCACACTTATGAATCTAGGCTTCTCTCGTTTTTGTAAATCCATGGTACGCAGTTTAGGTAACCCGTTTTATATTATATGGGGTGTTTGAACTGCCTGTAACACAAGAATGTTACTCAGTTAGGCTTCTCCTAGGAATGTTGCGCTTTCCTACGGTTGGAACAGTGCAACTCGAAAAAGACAAACAGAATAAACGCGCTAACAGTCCCTCAATCGTAACAGTGAGAGGTCGAGAGGGGGAGAATTTCAACTTTCGGGCGGGCGTTTCTTTCAGTGACTATTTGTGATAGCCTCGTGGGGAGACGAGTGACCATCCGTGATAACCAGTGACCATCCGTGATAGAATCGACTGTTTCATTGACCGTTCTTGATAACCCCATGACCATTCGTGATAGCGCGTTCTGTTTAGTGACCATTCGTATAATAACCCTATTCCCTACTGCTCTGGCTTGTCGTTTCAACCCAAAATATTTCACGCCGAAGAGTCGTTTAGCTAGCCCTCCGTATCACGCCTTCTTACTGCTGCTCTGTATTATCTAAGAGAGGAAGGGTTTTCAGCTTAGCAGGGAGGGGTATCCCGATCCCTCCGCTTTCAGGTAAGGGGTAGCGCTTTCTGCGCAAAGTTTCCGCTAGAGGCTGGGCTAGGGAGGGACAGTTATCGGTCAGGTTAGGGAGTCGAGCTCTCAATGAGCCACGTATTACATCCTCACACAGCTCGCTCACTGTACATCTACAATCTCAGATTCTACACTGCGCCTCCTTGTCTTTTATACCGAACCCAACCCACGTTCCGGGTGGCTAGATTTTAACTGTTCCCAAACTTGTACAGTTCGACTGGCCTGGCTGATTTTCTGGCTGGAACTCGTACGCTCACATCTTGGCAAAGTTTACTGCTGGCAGTGGTGTAAACTTTCCTAGAATGCACAAAAGCTTTCACAAATGCCTTTTTCGACCAGGCTCAGATTGCAAGGTCCAACCGAAACGAAGTCAGGTCACTACAGTTGCCAGGAGACTCGAACAGAGAGGCCCATGGATCACGCCTTTCGTCAGTCACACGTCTCAAGGCTGTCTTTCTCCGAACCTAACATTCTCCCACCATGTTCATGCTTGGGTGTACTT